CCTTCCCTGAATGCCGACATCAGGTGTCTTGGGAAGAGTTTTATAATCTCCCACCTTGTGATCAGATTTGAGGTCTAATGCCCTATCTTGGCTAAGTGTTTATTTTGTAAATGAGAATTGTTCTTCTGCCTTTTGTCCTTCGAAAAAGAATAACTGGTGCTATATGAGATTTGGTTTCTGTAAGGCATATATCTTAAATTTAATTCTATCTTTAACTGGACTATGGCTTAATGTAGAGGAAAACCAGAGGGTCAACTTGCCAATGTGCTCCTGCAGTGCTGACACCTCTCTTCTCCTTTCAGAGCACCTCCTCATTTCTGCCCATCTCTCAGGGATACTCTCTGTTCATTAAGCTCTATCCTTTCTGAGACCAGTGCAGCTCATCTCGACATAAAATCTTGTTTTCATCCCAGGCCATACGCATACAAATTGGTTAAGCTGCCACAGGTGATATTGCCCTGGTTCTGGAAAGCTGTACTGGAAGAACAAGATCCCTAAAGCAATTTAGCTTTACGCCCAAAAGGGCTGGAAGATTAGGGGCTTCATTTATCTTATCTGCAAGTGTCTTCCAGTGTACCACTGGTGTTTACATAAAAAGAGGATATATGTTGCAGGGGCTGCAAACAGACATTAATGAAAATTCCTACAGCAACTCGTGTCTTTGGTCAGCTCACTTGGGTGAGTTACGAGTGGCACGTGCCTTCTGGATCCCAGCAGTTCTGCAGGCAGGTGACACGACTTTGCTTTCCAGTAGGAATTCTGCATGAACACGTGCTGTGTAATGTAATACTGTGCCGCTCCCTTCCAGAGTCTAAGGATTAATGTTGTGAGGGAATAACTGTCTGCTGTTGTGTAGTTTAATGTTAGTACTATCTAATGTGTTAGTCTTTAGATAATGTACTAAATTCATTAACTATATTAAAAAGGGAGAACTACTACACCACTGAATTTTAGTCCATCAATGAAATAGTCCTCCTTTGGCCCATAAATGAATTAGTCTATTCTCACACTCCATAGATGATCTCGTATATTTCCCCGTTAAAATTAACAAGGATAACAAGGCTGTATGTAGAGACACAGAGACAGTGAAGCCTCAGAGGGAGACTTGAACGAGTCAGGAAAGGTAATCTTCAAAGATTGCTTAGGTCATGGAAAAAGACTTGGCTCGCAGCTCTCAGATATCTGCCCATGTTCACACAACAACTGCATACTTCGTAGGTCCATTCCAGGCAGCTCTGGGGCAGGCAATTCCCAGTCCTTGACTCCTGATATGCCAACATAAGTTGGCAGAACTTCACTTTATAGGAATTTAAGCATCTCTTGGGAGCAGGTTTCACTGGTCTGAGAAAGTAACAGGCTGTTCTATGCTTTCCTCTGCTATGTCTGAGTATTCCCTTCCTAAACCCTCCTAACGTGCTTCCAACACAGGTAGACTATTCTTGACTATAAGGTGTGGTCAAATCTTGAATTTGCCCTTTATTCAAGTACCCTTTACAATGATCACATCTGTCCTGACATGAAGTTTTTGAGTGGAGATGATATAACCTAAGATTAACAAAGATTTTAAGGTGGATATACATATCTTTGAGGTTTCATGAAAAAAGGATTTTGCATTTTCAGATCTATGAAATTGCTTTGTTCTCTACACGCATTTTCAATGGGCAGTGGTCAACACATGTATACCATAACTGCATACAAAGTTTGAGATATGGCTATTTACACTGCTTCTGGTCAAACTTCATCTCCAGATGATTCTGTCCTTACCGAGACCAGCAGCAACTCCACTATACAAGGAAGAGTATGCAGAGGTTAAGTGCCTGCTTGTATACAGGAATGTCCTCCTCCTCACAGCTGTTGAAGTTCTGTCGTGGTCAATCTCCTTCAGCCTCCTATCCCTTTAAGGTATATAAAGGATTTAATTAAAATGCAGCATTTTGTGGTGACAATGTGCAAACAAGATGCATTTGAGAAAAATTGGATTTTGTCTTACTTCTGAAGTTTTTGACTGAAGCTAGTGCATCAACTACCTGTTTTTCCAGGTTCTTTGGTACCAGTTTATTCAAGATCAATCAGTAACATGGTAATGATATATTTCAAAAGATAACTAGGAAAAGTTAGGTCTGTCAGAGCACTGTTCTGTGCATGAAAATACTCTGCGCAGTGGCAGTGATGTAAGGCAAAATGTGAGACTAAAATTTGAATCCATGTTGAGTTGTCATAAGAGAGAGTATGCTATAAAAGAAAGGAAAATGCACAGTATTTAAAATGCTTTTGGAAAGTTGACAGCTATCTCAAATGAAGAGTTGACTTACACCAATAAAGGGATGAGATATTTTCTGGTAAATGTGGATTAAATGGCATCGTAAATTTGGATAGCTGAAACCGAACTGAAACCGAAAACCTTGTGACAGCTTCAAGTAGTGGCAGGGTTCAGTCAACACCTAAAAAGAAAAAGAGGAGTGCAGAAAAGGAAGAGAAAGAAGTGGCTTTGAAAACTACATCAGAGCTCTAAGCACCACTGAGAAACATTTTGCTGATGTTGCATGAAGTCTGCTGGGGGCAGGACCTCCTGCTTCTTCTTTCACTTTGAGGACGGAAAGGGAAGGTGGGGGTGAAAGAGAGTGCTGTCTGATGAAACTTTGCAACAAGGCTGGTCTGCACTTCATGTGCCTCTCCTCTCCTCTCCTCTCCTCTCCTCTCCTCTCCTCTCCTCTCCTCTCCTCTCCTCTCCTCTCCTCTCCTCTCCTCTCCTCTCCTCTCCTCTCCTCTCCTCTCCTCTCCTCTCCTCTCCATTCTTTTTTGTTTTCCTTCTGCCAGTGTTTTGTTAAAGCTAGCAGATCTGCAAACAGTTGTTTGTTTAGATCCTGACAAGCAATTATCAACCATCAAACAAATGTTTTCTTTCCCCAAAGCAGGATATTCATTTTCCTTTCCTTTCCTTTTATAAGAGTCTGTAAAAAGCCTGTATTAGCAGAGTTAATTTAAGACTGTTATTAAAAAGCAAGTGCTATCATTCTCATAGTCCTCCTTGGGGCCAGATCCCAATTTCTGGTTGAAACAGATTGATGAGAATAATTTCACTGATTTCAGAGAGGCTAAATCTGAGATAGGATATTCAGTCTTCACAAGAACATCCTCCTCTGGCCACAGTGGCTCTACTCTACCTGTGAACACTATCCTTGTAGAAAGATAATATAGACCCAGTTGCTTTATCAAACACTTTCAGCATCCTTGGAAAACTATGAAAAATTGTTCAGAATTTTTTGTTACAAGATTCTTTTTTCCCCAAGAGAAATTGGCTGTATTGCAATACATTTTTTTTCCCCTAAGTAAATAGATATAGTTTATATCTTCTGGCAGCAATAAGAAGGCAAAAATAAAACAAGCCCTCACAAATCTTGGCTAGATTAATCTTCTAGGGTTTGATCCCTTGGCAAAACTCTGTGGTTTGGCTTTCTCTCTTCTCTTAGTATTGTGTGTGTGTGCCTCATTTTCTTTGATTTCATAGCACTATTTATGTTTATCTGCTAGCTTTTTTCTCAATTGCCAGTTCCTTTTCCCTTTCTAGATTCTTCAACTACTTGACAATTAAATGTCCTCCTTTTCTGCTTTTTTTAAACTTCATTTCCTCAGCGTCTGTTCCTCGGAATGGGACACTGTACAAGCCACCTCTTCTGCTTTGTCTTTCCTTTTTATTTCTTCCCTAATTTCCTTTATTTCTCTGTCAGTCACTTCTTCTTTCTTACTCTGCATTCAGAAGGATTCAGTTCTCTGAAATTCTCTCTTCTTTTTTTTCCTCCTAGCCTTTTTACCTTGTGCTGTTAAGAATTTGTTGATACAATTTCTGCTGTTTATGTTAGTATTTCCATAACAAATTGCAAAATTGGGCATTTTGGAAAATAAGTTGAAATTAAAATTGTTCTCTTATCTTTCTAGCAGGTTATACCTGGTAGTACAGGTTACATCTTGCTACCAGGTTATCCCTGGTAGGTTACATCAGGTAATACCTCCTCAATTTAAAAGAAAGAAAAAAAGAAAAAAAGAAAAAAAAACACAACTGGAAATTGCAACAATATATCTTGTTTTTTCAGCAAAATGAAAGGTGTATTTTCAGTCAAAAGTTTTTGTCATTGAAAAGAGGTATTCTGAAGCAAACCAGAGAATTTTCTGTTTTGATAAGGTCTGACAGAACTTCTTATTTTTAAATCCCAGAACTCTATGGAAGTAGCATTTCTGATCTTACCACTATCTCCTGAATTCAACCACTGACTTCCCATTGACTGAAGCAATGTTAGACCCATGATGTAGGACCTGGAATGTAACTTTCATTATGGGGGCTTAAAAGCCTCTCATGAGCTGCAGGAACTTACAGCTGCAAGAATACTGTGTTGCTGAGGCTGCCTGGGGAAGTTCAGAGCTGCCTGTGCAGCCGATTGGAACAGATAGTCAGGATGCCAATCTTATCAACCTTTCCAGTTTGAGTTGTTCCTGCCTGTCATTGGTTGGCTCCTGGAAGAGAGTGCTCAGTCTGTAACGATTGTGTCTGTGCAAGGAGGTACAGGTTATTTATCTCCGAGTTGTTTTTGCAGAATCAAATCTGGATTTTTAAGACTATTTTATTTTATTTTCTCCAAAGTTCATTATATATTTTATCCTGTTTGGTAGACATTATTCTAAACAATGTTTAATGAAAAAAAGTAGATTTAGCAGAGTCCAAAAGAGATTGTGAAACATATTTATTTAAAGTACTGAAAATTAAAAGGAGCATCTTAACTTAAACTCTGATTTGGTCTCCTGCCAATTCAAGCAAAGATGAATGAGGGGTATTAAAAATGAACACGGTTCTTATTTTTGTTGGTTACATGGCCACCTTTCTCACTACATACATCAGTTAGCAAAGTCTGCTTTCAGCAGTGGAAATTTCATTATCACTTCTAATTCTGGTTTTGTAACACATTAAAGTTTCCAACAGTTAATGACTCTGGTTTCTTTCCCCACAGGTCTACCTTTCGTGAAAGAACACGGAAGAGGAAAGAAATGACAGTAAGACTGAATTATGAACTCTTAGAAGTCGAGAACAAGAACTGATTGTATTGTGAAAGCTGAATTCACTACTCGCGATTAACGCCGGCAATAGCAGTTGGCGGTGATCGCATGCACGAGATTGCTGAAGCAGATGGAGCACATGTATTACTCACACAGGTTAGGAAAGACAAAAAGAAAACATTTATTCCAGTTTGCACTGCAATGTTTAAAGAGCACCGCAAACACAACTTTAAAAGCCTGAATTGCTTGGAAATTGACACCAGTGGTTCACTGCCTTCTCTGCAGCTCCCCTCAAACTCGAGACAGAGACTGTCCTATTATAGAAGTAGGTTTTCTTCTCCTCAGATCTGGGCACTTCTGGCCCTGAGATGAGTTGTGTCCCTGTCACTGCCATCCTACTAAAACAAAGACACCTCAGTTACTTCTTGGTTATCTACTTGAGTCAACTATCACCTCTCCCAGTGTCATCCTGCTGCAATCAAGTCTCCCAGAGGTGTTACAGCTCTTAATTACATTGTCTTCAGAGTGCTCAGAGGTTCACTGACAGAAGTAATTTCAGCATACAAAGCACGGCAGCAACATAAACTCATCTAGATAGTAGAGGTCAGTCCTGTCTGTCTACGTTAACCTAACAGCCTGTGCTTTTCCTCCTTCCTTCACCATTTGCCAAAACACATACGATTTGTTTTTTCTTTGATCCCATGGAGTTGACAGTGACAGATTACTTTCAGTTTCTCATCCTGAGCCTTCCCACTTTCCTGGTGATTTGACCCGTGACATTAGGAAGATCTGTAATCACAGGCAGCTGCCTCTCTGAATAATGTGTAGATACTGCAGGATTGGTGGGATAGGACCACACAAGTCACTGTCTTCCCGTAGAGCAGATGGATCCTGCAGATCAGAGGTGGAAAATGTCCTTGTGAAACTCAAGGGTTTTACAAAGGTTAAATTTTTCACAAGGCTCACTTCTCTAAAATGTCTGTTTGTTTTTTTTTTTTTTTTAAACAAAGTCAAGATTTCAGGGTATTTTGAATTTACGTATTAGAGACTCTGATAGCAGGGACCCTATTAAACATGAACACTGATTTTGCAATATTTTAATATCCAACTGTGCTACAGGAATAGAATTTTTTTTTTTTAATTTTTTTTTTTTTAATTTTTTATTTTTTTTTTTTAATTATTATTATTTTTTTTAAATTCAGTCTTCAACAAATGGAAAGCCTGTTGAGAGTGGGTTTTGATCTGTGGAGCTAGGACTCCACCCTTCTGGGATCCAGCAGTTTGGTACCAAACACATGACCAACTCCAAAAGCAATAACAGGCTCAACAATACTCCAAAAACAGTACTCAATAGTATAAAACCAAGTGATATCTCATAAAATTACATGAAATGGATCTTTAAAACGAACAGTTAGTAGAAGATTCATCAGAGGTGTCTGTGACTTTTAAAGTACAGAGCATAGCTCCAGATACAGAGCAATTAATGCTAAGAAGGACCTCAGGAGGTCTCTTCTCTGACCTCCACAAAGCAGTGCAAGCTTGGAGAGAAGACAGGGAAGATCAGGGATTTTCCAAACCCATCTGAAAGAACATCTCATCCTGGAGAATGCACAGCCTTCTTGTGGACAGCTTTCTCTACCACTTGGAATCCTCATGGGAGGAAAATTTCTCCTTGTAGCTTCAGCAAGCATATCTTATCCTCACACCATGTCCCATTGCAAAAGGCATTTCTCCATTTCCCTTGTTAGTTACCTGAATGGTCAGCTTTATTCAGTCTTACCTGTAAGTTGATGGGAGAGTGCTCCAGCAGCTCCTCCAGGTCACAGATAAAGATGATAGAGGTCGATTCTCACAAACGGGCAGTCACCACTGATACTAGTCTGCTATGTCAGTACCATTTGTTTGGAGAGTAAAAGCAAACTCCAAGAGATAGGAGAGTCTGGCAGATGAGAGAGCTCATGGACAAAATCTTGTTGTTATGTATGAGGCATGGTTCTATTCTGTACTGTATTAGAGAAAGCTCATCCACTAGGATTCACTATCTAAATCAGTGAATCTCTAACCTTTACAGCTGTCAAAACCTGTTCATTTCTATAAGCCCCTGCTCAGAGTCTAACTAGTCTGATTAAAAGCAAAGTGGTTGGATTATATAGTTATAAGCTGTTTCATGTAAGAAATAATAAATGATTAATGGCATCACATTTTTAAGAGTTCTCCAAACTCTTTTAGCAAATGGCTGACCACAGAGATTAGGATTTTTACAGCTGAATCATCAAACCTATTGTAAAGTCTCCTTTAACAATATTACTACTATGTCTCCATGGGCATAAAACAGTTGTCACTAGAATTGATTTCTGGAAGAGACTTCTCAAGGAACACTCAGATACTTTTAGTACAAAACTCCTGCACTGTAGCTCTCTGATTCTCAAGTTTGAAGGTTTCCAGGGCAAGACACAGGACATGGTATTTAATTTAATTTTCATTCAATTGTGTTTTCACAAACCAAGATGTTTGCATAGCCTTCGCAGACACAGTAGTCAGTTTATGTAGTACTTTGGTTGTCTCAGCAAGGGTAATTTCTTGTTTTTCTTGGTTGAAATTTGTGAATCAGCTAACGGCTGGGGGTGCTAAATAAATCGTAAGACAGTGTCAGCAAGTTCTAGGTTAACACTTTGCTTATGCAAACTAACCTATTCTGTTATCCAAAACTTTTGCAGGTAAACTAGCCACAGAAATCTTGCAATGCACAGGAAATAGTCTACATTTAGGGACTATCTGAAGGTTCTAATAAGCAGCAAAAACTTACTCTTTACTTGAGGAAATTTCCCTGCGTTACACAATACACAAAATAACCTATATTTTGACTGGAGTGCAATAGGCTTGGAATTTTCTGTTCAAAGTTCTGCATATTGTTATATCTATTTTGGAAGAAGACTTTGGAAGCTTTCCTATGAAACTCTCAAAGGTCACTCTAAAAGGAAGGTGTTCATATGTGCCCATAGGAATAGCACCATCTGTGTCATTCTGCAACTATATAACACCAATTTTATTCTATCTTCTACATTATATTCCCCTGAGATTTCTTGATGCAACAGAAGATCACAAAATTGCTGCACCCAGGTAAGTGTAGCATCTGTGTAGAAAGAAACCCAACTGAATGCCCAATTACAAGGTCTGTTTTAACTATAACATATGTATGTTCTTGAGATTATGGAATTAGTAGTGTAGAAACTTGTACACACTCTGCTCCGTGTAGCAAGAATTTTCCTGGACTCCAAAACTGAACATGCATGGTGCTCTGTCCAATTCATGGGAGAGGAGATAATACAAGATGTCTGAGATGAGATATTTCAGGCTAGTGAAAGAGCTACCTCTTGAGCTCTTTCTGATTGTATTGCATGCCAAACTCTTATCAAGGACTCTTCTTCCTGCCGTCAAAACTGAGAGAAAAATTGTCAGCTTGTCCACCTCTGTAGAGACTGTTGTGTAGGTATAAGATCTTGGCATGTCGGCATGCCTGGCTGTCTTTCAGTGCACATGCTAAATGCAGCGAGTCCCAGGCTACCTGGAAGTGCTGCAGACACTGCATGTGTTTCTGTTTAAAAGTGTCTAATCCATGGCTACATTCACAGCACAGCTACAGCATTTGTTTGCAATTTCTGAATATCTGTGTCCAGTAATCCTGCTTGAGCTATTGGTACGGACCTGTTCTTATTGATCTGCCAGACATCTAGAAATCCCAGCATCCAGAACTTCTTGAAAAACAGACATATTTCTCAGCATTTAGAGAATGAAATCAGATATAAGGAAACTTGGACGGTATAATACAGCAACCACTGGTTCACTCTTACTGCAGTTGGCAGAAATCACATTTACACATCCTCCTTTTATGCAGGTTGACACATTTCTGAGTAAACTCAGTAACTTACACCAAATGAAATTAACTATTTTCAAAATATACCCTCAATATTTGTTTTTTAAAGTCTTGTTAGGAAGTAAGAATGTAGATGGACTTATAAAAGGAATAACAGCAAAAACAAGAATCATAGAATCATAGAATCGCTTAGGTTGGAAAAGACCTTAAAGATCATCGAGTCCAACCATGACCTAACCATACTACCCTAACTCTAACAACCTTATGCTAAATCATATCCCTGAGCACCACGTCCAAATGGTTTTTAAACATATCCAGGAATGGTGACTCAACCACCTCCTTGGGGAGCCTATTCCAGTGCTTAACCACCCTTTCTGTAAAGAAGTGTTTGCTGATATGCATTCTAAACTTACCCTGGTACAACTGGAGGCCATTTCCCCCTGTCCTGTCACCAGTCACTGGTGGAAAGAGACCAACCCTGCTCTCTCTGCAATCACTTTTCAGATATTGGAAGAGAGCAATAAGGTCTCCCCTCAGCCTCCTTTTCCTCAGATTAAACAGCCCTAGTTCCTTCAGGGCATATTCTCCGAGCCCTTCACAAACCTTGTTGCTCTTCTTTGGACGTGATCCAGCATCTCCATGTCCTTTCTGTACTGAGGTGCCCAAAACTGAACACAGTACTCGAGGTGAGGCCTCACCAGTGCCAAGGGGCAGGATGACTTCCCTAGTCCTGCTCACCACACCATTCCTGATACAAGCCAGGATGCCATTGGCCTCCTTGGCCACCTGGGCACATGCAGCCAACTGTCCATCAGTGCAACAAGATTCCTTTTTGTCAGGCAGCTTTCCAGCTGTTCCTCCCCAAGCCTGTAGGGTTGCCTGGGGTTGTTGCGACCAAAATGCAGGACCCGACACTTGGTCCTATTGAAACTTATACAGTTAACCTTGGCCCATTGATCCAGTTTATCCAGGTACCTCTGTAGTACCCTTCTTTCCTCAGGCACATCAACTCTCCCTCCCAACTTGGTGTTGTCTGCAAACTTACTGAGGCTGCACTCAACACAGATATATCAATGAGCATTTCCATCAAATAATGCATATTTTCTTACTCTGTATCAATGTTCTGGAGATGTAATTGCTTGCATAATTTTTTATTAAAATATGTGATGTTACATAAACAATAGAGCTTTGAGAGGATCCCACAGAATAAAACAATCAGAACCTCGTTATCCCATGGAGGCTGCAAATACCAATCTTGCCTATGGGGAAATACAACATAACT